TATTAATTTTTGAATACGTAAATACATGCGAGTAACCGATTAATAAATGAATACTAATCTTTAATGCATGAGTACGCGATTAATTTAATCCTCTAACACTTATATCGTATTTTAACAAGTTATTAATAACATTATAATGTTAATGTTAAATGTACTTAATTGCGATAAAACATCAGACCTATTTTCAGCGCATTCTCTGTGTCTCTCTTACAGGAGAATACAAGATGAAAGTGAATAAAATACAAGTACGTATATATTTATATTCTAGTCACCTTTATTCCGTGATTTTATCGTGTTTTAAATATATATATATATAGTAAAATGGAGAGAATACAAATAAAAATTAAATACCAAACGTAAATCTAATGCAAACTTTCATTATTTAATAATGAAGGATTAAATTCCTTAAATTCGAACAAAATGTAATAATGTGTATTAATAATATACAGTTATTCAGTTCGAATCATGGCCGCTGTCTATTTCGTTTCAAACAGAGAGAAACATGGTGAACTATTCATAAAAATGCGTAGCAGAAATAATTCGTGATTAACGTACTTACGGATTACTCGTATATTATATCCTGCATGAAGGCTTCTGTTTACTTTCGAATGTTCATCGGTGCATAGAAACGCGTAACGAGGAAAGAAAATGATTCAATGGGACATTATATCACGAAACGGAGGTTAAGATCAAATTAACGCGCCCGTGAAAACGGACAACCATGACATTCGAACACGACATCCCATTGCACGAAAGTGTGAACTTTGGCGGAACATATTCTAATCTAACGAGCGTACACGCACAATCAACACACGACTGTTTGTTTGACTTGTTTATTCGCACGCGACTAAGCATCTACCATTCGACCTACAACATAGCAACAATTCTTTCCCGGTAGCCAATGTCGGTAGACTCGTACACAAAACTTTGAACTTTCCTTTCGTTCCTCTTTCTCTCTTTCTCTCTCACTCTCCCGCTCTCTCTTTCTCTCTGCATCGAATCTCTTGCATTTACTCGTCGAGTATAAACCGTCGAATATAAACAAATAGAGAAAGAAAAAAGAAAGGAAAATCGCCGGTATTGGAACGATATCGATCGACTATCGGCGAGATAAAACCACTGTGAATATCGGGATGGAGATTATGATACACACGTTCGGTCATCTGTCACATCCGATTGACAGCTAGCATCCTACAATAGGCAGAGCGCGCCACGCAGTCCCAACCTGACACGCATCCCGAATAACCTATCTGGCGTATGTTATAAAAGAAACACGTTAATCCGATGGAAGGTCAAAACAGTACGCGAACACTGGTGCCCTTGAGGCAGGGGTGCGAACAGAAAAATGCGAATGATCATGGAAAAAAGGGCGTGTGAATACCGTGAATGTCCGTCGAGTGTCTGGCGTCCACCAGTGACAACGGAGTAACAATGCGAATATCGTGTGTAACACAGAAGCTGTATAAGAATCTACGATTGATTATCGATTACCTGGGTATACAATTCGGTGCAGTACAATCTACTTCCCAGGAGGCAAACAGCTTCATGGGAACGGGCCGGGTGGCCGGGGCTGTCGTCTTCGTACGCTCCGCCATTTTTGGCCCGTCGGCCCACAGAAACACTCACTACGCCTTCAGTTCACCGCGGCTCGCGGCTGACTGACTGACTAATCACGCTTGTGGCGCCATATGAACGACCGTTTCGTGAATCGACGAAGAATTACGGAAAAGTACGAAGACACCTTCCGGAGAATAACCGAAGTAAACAACGCGAATTATATCAATGTGTGTGTATGCATGTACATACCTGCTATGAAACACGCTCACGAAGCAATCGCACGGTCGGTAATATTCCTCAGATACATTTCGAAATTCGCGATGATTGATTAATAAATATTATATGAATATTATGAATATTATGTTATAAAAAAATAGTAAGAAACTTTGAAATAATTTACGATTATCATAATTTTTTTATTTATAACTTCATTTATACAAAATTATTTAACAAAGATTATAACGAATAGCAGGTTCATTTAATGAATAATAAGTAATTTTTGGAAGAAATTTTTATTATAAAAATGCACATATGATGTGAATAATCAAATAAATATACACATTTTGTTTTTATTTAAACGCATTTCAATTTCTTTCCATATTATTACTGATTAAACCAAATGATAAGATAACCACCACATTAGCACAGGTTGAATACCTGCTACAAATAGTATAAAATAGAGTCTCCTTTTATTTCCAGAAGCTGTGTACGGGCTATTTTGTGGAATGACTCTTAGCTTTAGTGACCGTATAAGGAAAAATCCTAAAGACGCACTGAAGTACAATAAAACTATGTAGTAGCCAAATTTTCGAAATAACAAGGAAACCAAAAGAGCTGTATTCATACCGACATATTTATAACCGCAGTAAGCTAACAAATCTAATGTTGAAAGACTTGTCTCAAGATTCATCACATAGAGGCTTACAATATGCACAACTAGTTCTATGACTCCCCAAGCAAGAGCAGTACTAGCCAAAATACTTAACTGTTCTGGGGTGAAACGTTCTTGAGTTCCAGAAACTAATACAGCTGAAACTATGTATGTTAAAAACGCCATTGTTGGAATATACATATCTGGTGCATTTGTTTCATAACGTGGTTGTAATGGAGCATCTTGTTCGTACTTCACAGACCAGTCCTGTTGAAAATATTAATCGTTTATTTGAAGATAATTAAGCTCTATTTGCTAGATTCAAGATAACTTACTTTATGAGTAAATGGAAAAAATAACAAAGCTAGTTTCGAAGCAACGTAATTTGTGTCAACAGCAAAATAATATTTTAAAGCTGAAACTGGCACATATTTTTCAAATTGCTGTTTCCCAGATCCAACCAAAACATTTCCATATTGTACAGCCATGTTTGTAACTACTGGCTGTGTCAATAATTGCGTCGCAAATTGTGAGGTTGCATATTCATCGCCACGACTTTCAGGAGGTAGGTAATGTTGCATCGGCGTCATATTAAATCCATATGGTGGAGGCTGTTGTTCTGGCATGTTGTAACCATACTCTGGTACTATACCATTATCCATAGGAATCTGTTAGACCAAACAAGAACAAAGTTCTCATATTCTACAATAACTTATAATAAGTACGCCTGTTAATCTTTACCTGCTGATTATACATGTATGGGCTCTGAGGCATCGATGCTGATGCAGAAATACCAGCAGATGGATCAAGCAATCTTTTTGGCTTCCCTATTAAAAATTTCTCATTTAAATAACATTACACAAAATATTATTATAATAAAACATAACTATCTCAATATAAAGATTAATACTTTATTAAATAAGAGAGGCTTAGAAATCATAACCTCTATATAACGTTTCGTAATATTATATTACATTGTACCCATATTCCTCAATAAATGTAAAATGTATTAATAAATAAATACATTATTTTTATTAAAATAAACTCATTACACTATCAAATCTAAGCCACGAATAGTAATGGATTCAATAGATAAAATGACATATATTCGCGGATCAACAAACTTACCTCGCCGCGGACTTGAATGATTATAATTCATGTTTTTCGAATTGAATTCCTTGAACTGTTTATTAAAAGCACCAAATACTAATCAAAATTGTATTACTTGCGGGTTCGGACCCGATTATTTTCACAAAGAAACTTGAAAACAATGCATGCTACACGTCGCCATAGTACGTCATACGTTGCGCTACGTTGAGAAGTTACAATTATTCCCACTACCAATCTCAGTACATTGTAATTCTGTCATGTTGTAGCAGATGTTCTTAAATTACTCTAGTTAGCATAATTATTCACTACTAGTGACTTCTACAACATAAATATTTGTTGAATAATTCTTCCAATACAATTTTTTGTACAAACTGCACATTTTCAAATGTCCAATCATTTGCTGATTAAGTCTAATATCACAAGAGGGAATGTAGAAAATTATTTTATATATTTTTAAAGAGATGTACATATATGAAATAAGTACGTAAATATACGATTTAAAATATGTATTACAATATTCGCGTAAGTAATTGACATACATGCAAATCTTATTATATTACGTAGGATGATAATATGCCTTTGTAGTTATTCATACTATAGTATTATAGCATTATTATTATAGTATAGTATATAGTATAGGTTAAAATGTTAAACTATCCTCTTATGCATTGTAAAATACAGATATAATATCTATATTATAATATATTATACCAATAAATATGAATTTAAAAAAGTTGAGTTTGAAGTAGAGCAAAAAAATAATCAAATCAGGGGGCACCCGGGTTTGAACCGGGGACCTCTCGATCTGCAGTCGAATGCTCTACCACTGAGCTATACCCCCTGTTGTATCAAATATCTTCTAATAGCAATATTTGTATTAATATTATGTACATATATTTTATTTATTTACAAAATTATTCATTAACTAACTCTAATAAACATATTATCTAATTATTAATTCAACATTTGTTAATTAAAGTTTAAAACCTCGCTGTTATTTTTTTAGTAAAAGATACAGATCACTTATTAATAGGACATTTATTATTAAAAATTTCTTTACACACTAAAATATATTTATATCAAGATAAAGAAGAAGATATTTATATCAAAGCAAAATATAAAATATAAAAGAGACGTATTTACACATATATCGTTTCATTCACGCGTATTTTTCACATTACTCCACTTAATCCTTTTCTATGCAAGATTAATTACAATGAATATCAATAAATAACAACGTAGAATTAATTAGTATCGTATCTACGTTGTTAATCTATGTTTCTACTGTCGTTGAATGTAACAAATTGAGAACGTAAATTAGTCGAGGAAAATAAGGTAAATATAGTAGAGCTAAGCAATAAGTGCAAAGATCCAATTCCAGTCACAGAGACATATAAGTGTTTCTGCCTCTGTTGATACGTTACTGAGACGGTGGTAACTAGGCAACCTTTACATTAACTAGCCGCGGTATCAAAGGGATGTCAGTGCGCGTCCCACCCTCGTGTGGTGCGCTTCAGAGTTCTTGAAACCTCGTGGATGATGCGTCGATCAGTGACAAATACATTTTTCAAGATTACACCTCGCAATGGGAAATAGTCAAAAGCTGGGAGCGCAATTTTTCAGAAAGTAAGTTCTAAGCAAAACAACAATATCCCATATTATTCGCTCTTTCGACACTCTCTATCGAATTCAAACCTTATCACTGGCAATGAAACGCACGTGTAATCCTCGGACACGGTGGCACACGTTCGGAGTAAAACACGTAATTTTAATAGTATGATAAATATACATTTGTATATATACTTTCAGGCACGTTATCATTTTTTAAGTTACACGTTAAAACTTTATAGACGAAAGCTTTATAGAAGAAGTAAAATTAATGGAATTTGTGAGCAACGAGACGACTGTTGTTACACCGACAGACAGTGTACATGTGTATCGCACAGCAAGCAGTTGTAGATGGCCACATATCTACATACTTACGCAGTCATACATTTCACATCTACATTTTTCATAACATAACACTGTAAAACTATGTATATAATATTTATATAAAATGAAGATTTATATAATGTTAAAAAGTTAATATGAAAATATTTATTAATCCCTATCGTTACAATCTTGATATGCCGCCACGTTTAAATCATGCGACGTAATTTTTAATTTTCCCGCATTAACAATTATAATATGCAATCTGTCAGCTTCGTCAATTATATTTATCTTCAAACTAGCGTCCTGTTTGTCACGTGTTAAAAATAATTTCTCGCACATTTTCCACGACAAACTATTCTACGTGTTATTCACAGACGAGATCCGGATAACATATTCATCAATGAAGTACGCTTACGATACGGGGCTTATCTGAAGAGGAGCTACTCGATTTACTTCAAACACGCTAATACTACCAACTCACATTCACTTTCATTAATTTTCTCAAATAAGCACGCAACGAATCGAAGGATAAGTCTGAACTGCGCTTCGTTCTTTCTTTCCGATCATATTTTTCTAACGTTAATAAACAACATCTCGAGTTTGAGCAAAAGTCTTTTCAGCAATATTATTTTTCTGTTTGTTGAAGCGAGAACAATATAGAAACTAGAAACTATGAGTTCGAGTTAAAAATTCCTCTTACCTCGATCATGGCTTGCCGCTTACTTCAGATCGATTCTCATGATTGTTCGTACGACTGTGATCGTTTTCGTGTTCTATTGTCGATCGACGATTGCCAACGATCAGTTTGGTCACCAATAAACGCGATTAATCAAACGTTCTCACGACGTTACTGCGCAGCGCACGTAAACTCACGTGAAACCGGAGATGTTATCATTAAATATTAACGACGCGCCATCACGAAGGAACGAAGGCCTCCGCGAATTATTAACGGAGCAATAACGATCGACGTGCGGCACGGTGAATCAACGAAATAACGATTTTCAGTCATCGCCGCGTTACGGCAACACGTGCACGTGGGTTCGTCGTACGTGTGTATAGATATCACTAAACGTTCGCCACTTCGTTACACAGCACCACGCTGATTCAGTACTCCAGCAGAAACGCTCTTGGAATGTAGAATGCACTTTTCTTGCTGGCGCTCACTATATTCATAACGTTGTAGAGATGTCGTGTTTCTTGCCGCTTTTACTTTCTTCCTTGCAAGGTGTTGCATTACCCGCTAGACCCAGTTGCTTTCCTTCCGTCGATACGCGTGACGCTTTTACGACGACTCGACTTCTCTCCAATCACGAATTTTCTGAATTCTCTCGCGATCCAACTGACACTACTAGCGGAATTTCATAAGTCACGCGTTTGCAAGTTTGCCGATACTGACAGATCCTTTTCTATGATCTTGAATCTTCGCGATACGAGTGACCAATCGGCAGGATAATTGTTAAAATAATTAGGCATAGTTCATATGGTGATAAATAACGAGTAAGATGAAAGTAAACGTAAGAATAGAATTTGTAGCAGCAGATTTTTCTACTGTGCGAAGATATGTAAAGAATAGAAAATAAAATGTGTTATTTATTTACAAGGTTAATTTTTTAAAAAATCCCATCGTTACGATGTAATTAAAGGTTAGGTTAACGAGGTATTAATATTCTATAGGCTGACATGACCATGTTAATTTGAAAAATATACGAAGAGCTTTCTTCTACGAACGACTATTCAATGAATTTAAAAGGAAATACTTTCTTCGCTCCTATGTATTTGATAGTACTTTCTTCTTAGTTTGAAATCGATTTTTATCGCGATTCGCCGCTCGTCTAGAGTCTAAAGGCACATGAAGCCAATCCTTGGCGATAATTATTCAAGTATTTAAATATTATTAAATGAAGTAAAATAAAAATAGTATATAAATTAAAACTATTTCAAGTTCTTACGATCGGCATGCTGTTGGACGTATTAGGTTGTTTGAAACCTAACCTGTTTTTTTCGTTTCGTTTTATAAGGAAATAATAATAATTTTAGTGTAATAAGGACATAATAATAGAAATAGAACGAAATGGATCACACCCAATTCAATATAATAATATAAAACAGAAATTGTCATTCATCTATTATCATCTTATGAAACGAAAGAAACTTTTCGAACAACCAAACACATCATTTTTTTGAACGCACCGAGCAATAGAAGTATCCTTGCGAAGTGATGGTCGAATGATTGGATCGATTCGTCGCTGATAAAAACGAATCTCGCCAGGACGAATCTTTCTCCTCTGTAGGATTTTCAGGGAAAAATAGATCGTTACTTGAAAACCACTATCGATTCTGCCATGCCGTTACACACATTATAAACTGACTGGAAGTCTGGTTCCACCTCCACGATAGCGTGACACGTGACGGGAAACAGGTTAGGAACGTAGACGCTGCTGTTTAAGAACGATGGTAACACTGTTCGAGGTGCAGAGCAAATTGCATTTTCGATGATGCATGTGTAGGTTAGGAAACGATTTTCTGCATTTCGAGCGTGACGGGACGGATCTGTCAAAGTGATCCAATTTGGTAGAAATGGGTTTCATTGACAACAGCGATCAAAGTTGAAATTTGAAACGCCTATCTATCCTCTGTGCTTCGTTAAAGTCTCGCTTTTCAACGACACGAGAGATCTGTTAATCTTGCTCTGCATAGAGTAAACTTTCTTTCTGAGTAAAATGTCATTAAAGTTCGTGTGGCTGTAATTTGTGGTTCGCTGTGATCGTAATCAAGGTTGTAGTGTAGATTCGATCGGGTTTCGTACTTTCCATAGTCCACTCAAATTAGACTGCCCTGTTTCACGGCGAAACTCAAGGGCGCTCGTCAACACGTCCGATAGAGTCAATTTCGTTCAGTGCTACTGTGCCAGTAGCGTGCACAGCTGCTCGTCTTTAGTTTTCTTATCAAACTTCTTTTCCCTTGAAGATCAATCGATTCATATCGCTCTATTTTCCACGGCCGCATACGTCTTTCAAATTATACGCCGAATACTCGGACTACGCCAGCCTTCTTCGTCTCTTATGGCGCTTCTTGCAGCCTAAAACGAGATAGAACGAGCGTACGGAGTTTGTTGGCTCGCGCAATACGTAAGAAAGCGAGCATCGCTTACGTCGTTAAACGCTTAAGAAAAACGATACAAATTTCAAATTTCAATATCGACTGTAATAATAGCCTCGCGTGGAAAGTGATCGCTTCGCGATAAGAAAGGAGCGTGTGAAATGAACAAGCTTCCCTTCGTTTCCTTTTCTCCTCCATTTTTTATACCACTTTACGCGACATTGAAATATCCGTGAAACGTAGAAGGATCAAGTTACTCGAATATTTTTTTTTCGCTTCTCCAATCATTTGAATTCGTCGTTCGACGAAACAAGCGCGAGACGCTTTATCGGTCGCTCAATGTCTTGCGAGTTCTATCGCACGTTTTAATCGCACGGCGGGGGAAACGATGTAGGGGAGAAAGAAACGAAAATTGAAGATATGTCGACCTTGCCATGAAACCCGGCATAATAGCTCTCGACGAGTGATAGGTGTTGTGGCGTTAGGTTTCTATGGCAGCGAGTGACCTGGTCAATCCACCACGTGGTCAGTAACCGAGCTTTAAATTCGGGTCGAGTTTAGTGATAAACTTCTGATGGGATCTGCGATCGTGTCGGCTATTTCGTATGAGAACGAGGTCTCGGTGTCAATCAATTTAATCATTATCCAAACTATTCGTTATTTTTACTTTGGAAGACGGAATCTTTCCGTACGATCGATGTCGACGAAACTTACTTACGGATATTAGAAAAATCTACATAGAAATCTTCACATTGTCGCGTCGCAGCGTTGTCAAATTTGGTGGATTTGCGGCAACGCTGCGGGCATGTCCGTGAGTAGTTCTGTAGCGATTATTGTTGCGATTGCTGTAAACTGTAAGGTGTTCGCTGTCAGTCACGCAGTGGCTGTGTTTACTCCCGGCGCGCACTGATTAAAGCGTTTTCAGCCAGACAATATTTAACAACGGACAGTGCTAGAATTAGGTTGTAAAAAATGTGGCAGAGACATTAGATAGCCGAGGAAATGCCCTCATTTTACATTCATTCACGATCAGCTCTTATTCGTTGTTGGCTACTATACCTTAACGTACATTAATTACACGTTTATAATAACCGAATAATGGATACTTATGTGACATGAAAGACTATTAAATATTAATGACGTTGTTATCGTAGCTTCTTTATTGTTAATTTTATAGCGTTAACTATTATTACTTATTTATGATCATGCAATTATTTAAGCGCAATGGTATTTCAACAATTGTTTTATACCTAATAACAATGGGTTTTACAATTACATTTGTTGCTTTTAATTGTCCATTTGTTTACTTGTTACTTCAATCAAGACGTCCAATTTGATTGCTTAATTATAAATTATAATATAATAATATAATAATACAAATTAAAAACACAGAGAAGGAAACCTCTGACAAACCCTGAGAAACAAAGCTCGTAATTCACTGTAATGGAATTTAATCGTCTGTCTTCAACCAAATAAATCAGAGTTATTATGAAACAGAAGGTTTCCCTGACTCGAAAACAATTTTCCGAATCTTTGAAATAATCTTTCTTTTTTAAATAACCCTAACATAATCTGCTATCTACACGCAACAAGAAAGCAACTTAAATTTACAGCTTACAGTACACACTCCGATTTTCGTTTCATATACAGGGTGGCTGGTAACTGGTGGTACACGGAAAGGGGGTGATTCTACGCGAAAAAAGAAGTCGAAAATATAGAACAAAATTTTTTTTTTAATTTTTCCATCGAGACAAAGATCTACAGTGAGGTCCGTTATAATGAGACGTGATAGAGTGCACGCGTACCGAGCGAAAATTCAAAGTCGATTTTCTCGAAAACAAAGCCTCGAACGAAAAATTTGTATTCTATATTTTCGACTTCTTTTTTCGCGTAGAATCACCCCCTTCCCGCTTGTACCACCAGTTACCACCCTGTATACGCGTAAATACCAAAGAAACTATAACGCAAAAAGATTGCGTGGAATCTGTTAAAAATTCGTATTCGCTGGCGCGGACAAAGTTTACATGGAATCTTATTCGAAGGGCTGACCCAGTTCACGGGTAGAGGAACCGGACATTCTCTTCGGCGCGATGAATTCGATCGGCCGAGAGGGCGGAAGATGTTTCCACGCGAGGTCAGACCAATTGTGAACCGGTGGCAGAGACGGGCATGGACACTAAGACTCCACCGATCCCGTTGAAGGTCCAGGAGAAGCCAAAACCGAAGCAGCAGAAAAGTGTGGCCGACGTGTCCTTGCCCCCGCTGACACCATACAGGAATCATCGTCAGAGGCAGAAAACGCCTGGAACTCAGTGGTCGCGTGATGTGCCCAGCGCCGTACGGTATCAGGATCATCAGAAAAAAAGGCCTTACAGGTACACTTTCCCCTGCGATCGATGCATGCATTTATTCAACCGCTGCGCTGTTTAGCAGCAGGGTCTCGATTCTTACGCGTGAGCTGAAGCATCGTTAGAAAACGTTTGAAGAAGTCGCGGTTGCGAAACGTCGGCAAATAGGAAGGATCGTTCTGCATGAAATTTCTCCAACAAGTTCCGTGAATATATTTTCTTTCTCCTACGACCCTCGTACATTATTTCCGCGAGATTTCCTTTCGACGTGTAAAGGGCGTCGTTCAACTTTTCCAGAGTGCTTCAAATCGGCGCCACGCCTTTGATGCACGCTTGCCAACAGGGCGACAGAGCCAGGGTTTTAAGGCTGTTGAGAGAGCAAGAGGAGACGATTGGCTACAGAGATCGTACCCTGAGGAACGCACTTCACTATTGCATGGACGCTGGAACCGCAGGTGCCGTCGCGGCGGCGGCACCGGAACTGGTAAATGCGCCAGACGCAGAAGGACATACGCCGCTTCATTTGGCTGTCATCGCAGGTGATACGCAATTAGTGGCTGTTTTATTGGCAAACGGCGCCGACGTGAATGCCAGGGATCTGGAGGGACACAGTGTTCTTCATTGGGCCACTGGTATTTTCATGATCACTAATCCTTAACGCTATGACGATCGATGACCACTAGACTGAGGATATTTATGCAGATTCCTGTTTTCCTGTATACGATTAAAAGAACGTAACGTAGATAGAGAATTAATTTCCTTACTGAATAGTGTAATGGTCATTGTGACATTTTTTACGTTATCTGCATTCTATGGATTTTTACGTTTCACATTTCACGTACCTAAGCGCATAAAAATCCGCAGTCTAGCGATTACACTAGCGTCATACGAGTGTAACTACTACTGCACGATATGTACACACACATACACATATATATATATACATTTACTTATCAATTTATGCATTTCTTTTATTATTTATTGCCTCTACCTTTCCATGTATTCGCGTTTCGTATATTTCGATCTGTTCGTAATTTCGTTCTAACGATTAGTAATGCATAACTCTGGCCAAGGACTCTCTAAATAGCCTTATTTGCAATTGGCTCATAATTGTTTCATTGCGTGGCACTCTTGATGCATTTCATATACGTACATACACCATACACTCGAATTACGTATTTTACCGAAAAGTTTAAGTGTGTTCTTGGAAATCACTTAGATGTGTACATACTTCGAATCAATCGATCTAACCTTATCGGTCACTCCATCTTACTCGTTATTTTCTCCTTATTTCACGTTTAATCTGTACATACAGTATGCCCGGTTTATCAGGAATCGCTCAACTATTTTGGGAAATATGAATGGTACAAAAAAATGTACTCTTGTGTGTTTGACTATACGGCGACTTTTCATTAGTACATATCTTTATAGCTCACGTTTGGAGGTTTTTAAAACGCTACAAATTTGTGTTTTTCGCATCATTCGCTGCATTGCAATCTTTGTCTGATATCTGTCGGACTATCTTTCATATTTTTCCAAATATTTGAGCGGTTCGAGACAATCTAGACACATTGTACATGGCACTTTCTTTGTAGATAACAATATTTTATACATGGTGTTCCGCCTATCACCTGGAATATCGCTGGTGTATTTAAAATTTGATACAAGTATTTCCTAAAAAGATTCTCTAGTAATGTAGTCAGCGTATATTAATCATAGTTTTAATCTATCGAGTTTTAATCTATCTGATTTATAAAGGAAGAAAATTTGTTCCATCTTTTCCAAGCAAATGTTTTATATTAATTCAAAAGGAAGATGGGAGTAACATTCTTTTATGTTATACAAAATTACAATATATAACAAGAATATCATAATTCAAAGATTGTTCTAACCTTCTCGTTAACAGTATAAACAATACAAACTTACATATATTTATATAATAGATATTTTAGAAAGATCTTAGAAATCCAAAGACCACTACTATAATTTGTAAACAAAATTTGTCCATCGTTAAATAATCAAGCTACTAGTCATTTTCTATAACACCTGAAAAATTGTATTCCGAAAGAATTTCCTCCGCGTAATATCCTTTCCTAATAGAGTCACTCACTTCCAGCAAGTCGATGATATGTATGCAATGAATTTTCAAAGTCGAGACTAACCCATTCCTGAGAAATTAACCTTCGAATGGAAAAATTTTAACCTATAATTTTCGTTTATCTTTACACGCGTAAAAGAGATCCTTACCTGTACATTTCTATACTTCCAATCGCACTCTGTATGAAATCTTTTCTTGCTCATCCAAACGCTGACGACGTTACACCTTGCATGTAATATTCAATTTACAATAACTACATCTTGCGTGAATGGTAATTTTACGGTCAGAGAATACGCTGGCGATCAAGATTAGCCAAAGCGTCGTTTAAGTCCGCGGTGGAAAGTGGGCATAAATTGGCTTATAAAGAGCCAGCTTTAATTTTGCCGGATGAAAGGTCGAATCGCGAACGGCCACACGAGCTCGGTAACGATTCCTTAGAATTTGCGGAAACTGTGAATTACAGGGCGTATCTTTTCTACTAATCTCCGATAAAATAAGGGTTCAGTATTGGTCAGGTAAGGTTAGTGGGTCAGTTCTGGTGACGTCATTCCGGTTCTCTAAGGAACACGCGAGCAAGACCCACGCCGAGATAAACCGAAAGATTGACCATAGTCGTCCTTGGTGTATTCAAATGACCAGAGATTTATAGCCGTACACCGCAATTGCCCATGTATTACGTTCGTCTGTCGGATTTACGGTATGAAAAAGAAAGTTTTCTCTATCGACGAGTCGCATCTGTGTAATTCACGAACGCCTCGAGTTGCAAGCGCGGACGCAACAAAGCCAACTTCTCACCAAGTAATATTCCGACCTACTTGTCGATGTCGCTGCTTTATCGCTTGTAACGTTACTCGAGTGTTCCGAATACGGACACGCGGGACATGATGCTATCTTGCGAGCCTATTATCGAAGACAAGCAGAACTATGGTCGAAGGAAGTCTATCTTACCAATGCTGAGTCTATACTACGTGATTTGTTTGACTTACATATGCACTATTTGTTGATATTTTTTTCTTAGAAAGGCGACGGCTTCAAGAAAATACTTCGCATAAAAATTAGTTTGCTTGCTGCTAGCAACTTCATAGATGATGATAATTCAGATGAAACATCTCTTTGCATATGATTTATAAAGTTGACATGTATTGCATAATAACTGCTAATATTACTGATTTGCATGTTTCATTGGCAAAAAATGAAACTGGATGGCAATTTGTTTAGAGAAAACAAGAAATAAAAAATTACACGCGAACGCATAATAATGATGTTTTTAATTCTTGCAACATAATGTTTACCAAATGGTTTCATTTTTCTATTGTAGCGAAAAAAGTTCATTGCTAGTTTAATGTGCGTAGTAAATTTATTTATATGTTTATATTCAAAATAACTAACCACCTTAAATTTATTAGTATAAAAACAGAGACCTATCGTTCAAAATGTTTAATCCAAGCTCTTATGTAGTTTATTACGACATTTGCAAAGCGGAAGGCCTACGAAGTTAATATATATATTAAATTTAAAATTTAAATTTATTTAAATTGTTGTAGTACGAAAGATATTATATTGTTTAATATTCATGAAAATATTTATTTATTTATTTCTTATTAATATCATTATAGAGTACATCATGTGCATTTTAATAAGTAGCTTTAGAGAATACTGTAAGTAATTGGAAACTGAAAGTAATAAAAAGATAATTTAATGGTTACTTCGATAAGCAGGACAAAAAGTGTAAGCAATGAATCTCTTGAAACATTACAACTGTTTCAAAAAACTAAATTACCTTGAATTGCTATCTTCCCAATTATATCTTCTGAAAAAGGTTTCAGAAATTTGGCTTGTTAGCAAACAATTATATCGGGATAAACACATGCAAAGTTGAAAACTCGACAAAGAAATAAAAATGTATGTTTATTTGTCGCTCAGTGTGCGGGGAAGCAGAATGTGTTCGCTTGGTGTTAGCGGCGGGTGCTCGGCCATCCACACCCGATCTTCGCGGAGGATCTCCTCTTCACTATGCCGCTCAATGTTGTGGTGCAGCTGCGACTGCGGAACTTGCTGTACCTAAGAAAGTTGGTTTAAAAGTTCTCCAGACTCTGCTGGAATTCGGTGCCGATGTGAATGCGAAAGACGAAGATGGAAGACAGCCGATTCTATGGGCGGCAAGTGCCGGTAGCGTGGAAGCTGTGTTGGCTTTAGCGAGGTAAAGTTTGATTTCATTCGAATACGCGGTCTTTCACTGTCGTTGAACGTTAACGCCGAAAACAATCCTATTTTAGGGTAGCTTATCGCAAAGAATGACGCTTTAAATTTTAACAATACACAATGGTAATTTGAGAAAATAATTCTTTTTAAAACTAGTAACACATTCGTAAGTGACGTCGCTGGGATTAGAATTGAATTTTGCAACGTTAAATATTTATATCGTAAAATGTATGAAATACCTTAATTGATTCTCGAATTCATGAGACTTTCGTGCTTCGGAACGGGTCGGCAAAACTCGGGCGAGATCGAGCCGGCTCTCGAAAGTACAAAATTCGCCAGGATCTCGAAACTATCCGATTGCGTGCGAACATATCGAGATCTCGAAACTATGCAACTACAATTGCATGTGAACGTACCAAGATCCTGAAAGTACCGTAATATATAATTAATTAATTGTGAGATCTAGAAACGATCCGAGTATATATGAACGACAAATATGTATCGAAATTCTGAAACTACTTACATATTATATGGTGGAACTGTAGAGAAACTATCTCCTCTCCGATTTTGATGATTTTGAAATGTGTTGTTAACCTCGGCATGTTGAATATCTTTTTCCTATATATATAAATCACAGTCGGTCTTGATTTTTGAGATATTTGCTAATAACTGTTGGTATCACTATAGAGAATTCTGCCTATAATTGTGCGTTCGTAGCAAGGTATGCGTTAGTATTGTTTACCGGCCGTTCCACAGTGGCGGTCAGATAAAATGACACCTAATCTAAACCTAAGACATTTCCGTGGAATAAGGCCCAATATGATGTAGATCTCTGGCAACGTTCTTAGTACCCAATAATGACGAGAGGTCAGGAGCTGCTATAGTTGAAAAGAGAGTAAACAGTAGCGAAGAAGTGGAAGAAAGGCGTATTACCAAGTACGTTTAAAAAAAAGAATTATTTTTATGACTTTTCAAAAATTTACTTGCCAATGTCAAAAATAATGACTTTTATACCCAATGTTATGTTTTCGATTAATAAATTACTTTCTCATTATTAATTTAATACTTCTTTTACAAAGTGGAAGAATGCTGTATGTTACACCAGCTGCTTCTTTTATTACTACAGTGAACAATGAATTGTTTTTACGTTCCCTGTAAATTTTATGAAATGTAACGTACATCCTTTTCTCAGACAATCATTCCATTAAGGTTAGACGTCATTTTATTTAGCCGCCGCGCCGTGAAGCAATACTGTCGCGCATACGCTGCCACGGATGTACAATTAAAAGCAGAATTCACTGTAATGGTACCTACCGACAGCATTTACGAACATCTCGAAAACTAAGCCTGACCGACGGTTCTCTGTACAGGTAAAAGTTGATAAAAATTGTTAAAATAGGAGAACAAAAATTAGATTGTTCGGAAGGAAAATAGTTTGCAATAAATAAATCCGGAAAAGCTTATTACCGAGATCAGCGGGAGGATATACCTTACGAGGCAAAACGAATCATCCCGATTGGTCAAGCGATTTCGAATACATCGGCGAACCCAAAAAAGGAAAGAAGAAAATATATCCATCGAGTTGAGATGCCTTCCATCTTTTCCCAAGTCAGTATACAAATCATCAAAATCGGGTAGGAAGTAGTTTTTCGATATATGTTCAACGAAGAAAGAAGACGAATGATTCTAAAAGCAATAATTAAAATATAGAGCCGGTGGCTCAGCTGCCGCAGGAGCTGCAGACAAGGATGGCCTGACAGCACTTCATTGCGCTGCTTCCAGAGGTCACGCTAGGTGCGTCGAGGCCTTAGTGAATCTCTGCGGTGCTCACCCTGATCACGTAGACGATAATGGATGTTCAGCCCTACATTATGCTGCCACTCTTGGTCACGCTGATGCCACAGCCTTAATTCTAAAGTTAGGAGCCGATCCGAATCGGCAGGATCGAAAGGGTAGAACGTAAGTACTGTAGAAAACTGGAACGAATGTTCATTGAAGCACAGACTTCAATTTTATGATACAATTTTGTCGGTTAAAATAAAAAACAAATTGTATTGATATTAACGAGACTGTCAATTAAAACAGGAAATTTATTTTTCACTAATCTATTAAGTAGATTGGATGTGCATAGTTCTCAGAGAATACTCGTTCTAGCTTTCTATGGTAAAAGCTTCATAAACAAAAGATTTGTTGGTGCATTTCAACATCTTGATGTACGACAAAAGTGATAGAAGTTTAGATTTTTATTTCGAGAGTCTTTGGTAGTAGTCGAATACGCGGTTAATCAGTGGTCTCAAAACAGTGAGGTCATAAATTAGAACGTCTTTCTCAAGACAGGGTTTATTAAACTGAGTGCATTCATAACTCAGTAAGTTTCCAGTACACTTGAAATTTTTTAGGAAGTGTTGTTATTAAAATTATCTTCTGATTAAATTTAGATCTCAACGAACTCTTATATTTCTATATATCTAAATAAAATAATAAGAAAATTTATATTTATATTGTAATTTAGATAATTTTTATTTTCCTGTAACTTTAAAAAACAGGTCAATTTTTCAACTATACCATTTGATGATTCACATCATACGTACAGCGTCTTGAACTAGGTCCCTATGTCTCTCAAAATGCCTCAATTTATAATTATTTTCTTTACGGCCTACCTATACTTTACCAATAATCTACCCCTAACCAGTTTTATGACCTTACTGTATTTCTTCTACCGACTATACTGCATCTATGTCAACATTAATTTTGTCCTGTCAGTATTATAGTATTAAAATTCATAGGTCATAGGGTGCATTGACACTATTATCTTGCATATACACATACGTACATACATAATAATAGACAATACCAGATAGTCTATAGATACTACATATAGAGAGACTGTCATTATCAATAATGATACACGTTTCTGATACAATGTACTCACATACATAGACGTTGCCTTTAGATATGAAAACTAAGGAATGTGACTCGAGCATGTATAAAGTTAAAATGAATGTATAAATGGAAGTGAGCTAAAATATGTAATATCTGGCTTCCAGGAAATATAAGAGAAAAGCTAAATCAAACGAGAGTATGAAAAATATCCAACTTAGACGAAACTACAAAGAAAGCTCAAAGCTAAAAAAAAATCTGAAATATTTTAGACCAGCACTTTGTGCGGCAGCGAAAGGACAACTGGAAACCTTGAAGATTCTTGCCCAGCACGGTGGTTCTCTTTACGCGAGAAGTGTACGAGGAACCGGTGTCGCCCATGAAGCTGTTGCTTCCGGTAGGATCGAATTAATCAAATGGTTGGCGAAAAAACGGCCAAGCACTTTGGACGTTGCCACGCAAGATGGCAAGACACCTTTGCACGTGGCTGCACTTCACGGACATTTGGATGTGTGCAAGGTTCTTCTGGACAATGGCGCGAGGATCAATGCTGTTCTCCGAACTAGCAAAGGCAATCTGATGACAGCTCTGGACGCGGCGCTTTACAGGGGACACAGGGATTGTGCGAAATTGATCCAAATGCACGGTGGTACTACGGCACAGAAATTGAGGATGCAGAAAACTGTGCCGAATAAAGGTCAGGTCAGGTATATACGTATTTATTTACAAAAATGTCTTTAAAGTGTATTAAGTATAAAAAAAGTCTTATAACGTGTATTATGCGTAGAAAAATTTTATGTTCTATGTTATGAGCTTCAAAGACGCAATATCAGACTTTTTGGCGTTAAAATTTTTCTTATAAAACGCCACTTTTTCTTCATAACTTTATTCCTAGGGACATTTGATAATTCGTTGTAACAATGAGGATTAATAGCACGCGAATGACAATCTCCATTAAGATACCGGTACGAGATAGTGGTAATTTGCATATTTGTCGTACTATACCGTAATCAAATCTGATGTATCACTTCCTGTTTATGGTACAAGCTTTATGCACATTTATGGCAAGCTTATTAGTACGTATTATATACAATTATTTTATCGTATCCTTTTGCGAGGTTAGGGACCTTCTCACACGCTGTTGAAGCTTTTATATCTCAATGAATATCTCTATTTCTAACCTATCGTTTAGCTTAAGTGAGCCATCCTATACATTCGCATCCTATCGATGATGTTATCGAGTGACCCCCACGTGGATCTCCTTATCTCAAAGAGTTTCGTCTGTCATTGCATGCGATAATATTCTCTTTTCATTTTACATTACTTATAATATATTCATATACATGTACAACAGCTGTCTCTACCCTAACGTAGAAACGACATAAAAAGTAACAACTCTGTAGTAAAATTTTGCATTTCATTCTAACAGAAATGTCGTTTTCATAAGACGTACGATGTAACCAAGTCTTTTGTTGATTGCTACGTGTGATACGTGCTAAATGCGGCTGTGATTTGACAAAGGAAGTGATACGTCGGTGAGATACGAATAGGACAATGTGCAAAGAGATTGAATGTTTATATAAAAATATCGCTTACGTTAAAATATTTATTTGATTTCTGACAAGAGGTTTGGTTATACATGGCAGAAATGAGTGTTCTTAGTGGTGAAAGCTGCAAGACTGTGGTAGTGTAGTATGACTGAGAATCAAGAAAGTTATCTTACAATTCTTTCAGTCGTCTGAGAATCCTAGAACGTTCACGTGTGAATCATTGAAAAGTTATTCGATAATAGTGAAAGGGTGGAAAGCATTATTGTTGTGATAATACTAATTGCGATTAGTAATTGTGGTGATAGTGGCGGTTGTAATAATTGAAAATAAATTGTTCGAGACTTGTCAAAGGAGATCATGATTAGATTATATAAGATTTATCAGAAAATCGTAATTAAATGTTCAGGAACTTGTCGTAGAACTGTGAATAAATTGTTCAATGTTTCTCAAGGAATGATATTGGTGATGATGATATTGATGACAATATCCGACTTACTTGCATGTTTAAGAACCAATACAAGTACGTTCATTTTACCAAATAATCGATTTCGTATTACAACAAAATTTTCGTTCGTAAATGCTGCAAATTTTACCAATTTCCCTTCGAAGCAATTTCCATAATAGTTTGATTCAGATTTTTTGGATTTTTCATTTTTATCGAATCGATTTCAGTATTCTCAACGAAATTGCGAATGAGGCATCTGGATAGCAGCACCGATACGGAAAGCAGTCCCCGTAGACAAGATCGTAGTTGCAAACTTCCGGAATTATACTACGAGGAGCAATGGATTAAGAAGAGAACGCGACGAAGAGGAAATTTAAGAAAGTTGGCGCGCCAGGATAGCCGGAGCTTCAGCGAGGAAGAGGTTAGATTATCGAAGTCATCCTCGAAAAAAGATCATCAAAGGAGAGCTCGTAGCGAATCAGCACGGTAAGATATCTTTAAATTACATACGGTGTTTCCTCGAATAACACGTCGGTTAGGGACACAGACTGACCGCGTAGTTGCGGAAACTGAAGTACAGTAGATGTATTAGGCTGCCCCAAAAGTTTCTTTCGTTTTATAAGAAAATAATAAATGCGCAAGATTTTTGTTTTATATTCTTTTATTGAATTATGTATGATCCATTTTGTTCCAACAGAACAATGATTCAATAAAATAATATAAAACGAAAAATGTTGTGCGTCTATTATTTCTTTATAAAATGAAAGAAACTTTTTGGACAACCTAATGCATACATACGCATATTTATATTTTTCCAATGCCTAATATGTACTACTCAAAATTTACACTTGTTACATTCACTCGTTATATTCTTCACTGCAAGATTCTTTGATGCTAGTTGGAAAGTGCTTGTAGAAAACACTGTAAGTGCCAAGAAACAAGTCTCTATAAATTTATGCATTAATATAGTCGAAATTTGTATACAGAACGTATTTTTATTTTATAGAATTTTATAGAATAAAAGTCTCTATAAATTTATGCATTAATATAGTCGAAATTTGTATACAGAACGTATTTTTATTTTATAGAATTATAAAGTACAATGAAATTATTATTTCTGTTTTTCAGTGCAATTGTCTTTCATTGTAATTTGCCCGAGTTGCAATTTAGTTGTCTTCTCTTCTTTCTTCCACTGTCGTTACACATAATATCGTACATGATGCATGTTCTTTGTAATTTAAACATTGAAAGCATCATTTAAGCCCATTTAGCATCCACTGATGCAGTGTCGTTGTGGCCGCCGTGTGAATACCGACTAAAAGTGCAGCACCTATCTCAAGTGCCCGGGAGAGACACCGCACTTTCGTATTTCTCCGTGCTACACCGAAAATAACCTATACCTGCAAATAAATCGTAAATTCATCTTAACGTACTTCATTTCAAAAAACTAGAAATTTTTGAGTTTTATGACAGTGCAAGTGAACTCGACGAACAACTTGCGAAGGAAAATGCAAATACAAAGTGCAGTAGACTTGCTTTGAAATATAACACGATCTTACAGGGAGACATAGAGGAAAAAGACAGACAGCTCGACGTGCGCTTCGACGGAGATGCACGTAGCAGTGCAGCATCGATGATCAAAAGCCTTTGCTGATCCGATGCTGAACACTCGAGTTACAAGCTACAAAATATTCCGTTAAAAGCACCGCCGGCCACGTCGCTACCACGATTCACTTACAATTTGTAAAACTAACAAACTTCGTTAACGTAGGAAGACAAACAGCATAAAGCAAATGAAACGAGCAATGCTATGTTTTGATATTGGCAACACTGAAATCCCGAAAGTCTGACGTCTCTCCTCGAACGTCATATCTCTCATAATTATATTCTTCTTATACTCATTTACGTTTATTAAGCATTATGTTTTTTTATTTACCGTAGAAAAAATACAAAAAGAACTCGACGATTTTTAAATGCTGCAAATTTGCAGATTTGTAAACGCGAATATTCGTTAATTTGAAAGTATAAGAGATTGGAATTTTGGAAATACAAAAACCTAAAAACCTAAATGTCTGATGATTTGCAGGTTAAGAATTTGCAAGTTCGAAAGTATGGAAATTGAGAAATCGAAACGTAATGTTTAAAATATAAATTGAAACATTCACAAATTATACTTTCAAATCGCACGAATATAATCTTTTTTATTTAATTACTATCATAATCGGAAACTACCAATTATTCGGAGAACTTAAAATAATAATAAAATGTCAAATCATTCTGCAGAGATGAGATTTCAATTTATTCATAACTTTAAATATGAATAGTAACGAATCTATTATTTGTTCCAAAGTACACTTTTAAATAAATAATCACGACAACATATTGCAGGTACGAAGAAAATGATACGGATCGAAAATTGAGAAGGGAAAGAAGTAAAAAACGATCATCGAAATCCAGACACGACTCAAGCGGATCATCCTCAGAGTCAGGCAGCTACGAACGCGCTAAAGACACGTCGAAGCAAAAATTCGATTCGAGAAAAGACGAGAGCAAAACTAATGGAACGGAGGGTTCAAAGAGAGGCGACGACGACGAAAGCGTGAGCGACGATAGCCTGGAAGTGGTGGTGGTACGAAAATCTTTGGAGAGGAAATGCGAGAAGGTGGTGTCTGGAAGAAGATCAAAGACACCCAGGGAAAGTTCAAGAGAAACGAAATTCACAAAGACTCACAGGAGCACCAGAAGGAAATTGAAATCCAGCAGATCGAAAACATCGGACAATGGCGAGAGTGCAACCGATCGAATGCATTCGCTGGACAAAGAACAAGGGCCAACAGAATCAACGCTTCACAGCGAACAAACACCTAGAACATCGATAGACGAGGAAAAGCAAAACGAAGGGAACATCGTTGAAAGTCGATATCGTAGGGACGTGACCGACAGCACCAGCCAAGAAACGGTGGAACGCGTCGTTGTGACAGCGATGGTCCATAAAGATCAAGGTCCAGATACGCCAAAATCCGTAGCGGAAGCTTCGAAGGAAGTCACCTTCGACGACAGATTAAGAACGGAAGTGATCGAGATGCAAGAAATAGCGGGAGACGTTAGTTCAGGCAAAGCGGACGATATTTTAGAGCAGAGTGACGCATCGCGTACCGATCTTGTGCAGAAAGCTGCCAGTTTGAAGAAAGATGTGGAAGAAATGAGACAGCAGGTTGCACAAGAGAAAATTGAACAAGAAGAAGGCTCGAAGCAGAGTCGAGAGAAGGAAGATTCTAAACGGGACCAAGAAAAAGAAGATGTAAAATCAGACCGAGAGAAAGAAGACACGAAAGCCGTGGACCACACGAGAAAAGATCAGGATGATCAAATCGAGACCTCGTTTAGTGATGAGGCAAAGAAAAAAGATCGGAGGAAAGATGAAAGCGAGAAAGGTAAGACTTTAATCCGGAATAACAGCTGGATTGTAAGTATGTCAATATCATTGTTACTGAATTTATTTTTATGCGTAATATATTGGAACTGTAACTTACTGTTAAAGAAACATTTTTGTTAATTTCCTGTAGATTTTATTTAAATAAAGTTTCTGCCAATTTTCTGTAGAGTCCTCTTTCCAGGCAGGTTAGATGCACGCGAGCCGATTGAGTCGGAAAGTCCCACGTTGGATTCTGAAGAGTATCAACGACACCAGAGCCGACAGGAAGACGATCTCGTTTCCAGATCAGACGAAGCGTCATCTGGAACAAAACCCGACGAGAATCTCGATAAAGAGACGCGTAGTGAGAAAACGGACGTGTCTGAGTCGATCTTAGTGAAGGACCACGAAGATTCGGAGAAAGCGACCAAATCTGGAAGTCCGGAAAGTCAAATAGGTTTAGAGAAAGAGGACACTACACCAAGGACAGCCGGCGTTTCACCGTCAGAAGGAGAAGAGAAAAAGTCGGCGTCGGAAGAAACGAAAAGTAAATCAAAAGTTAAATCTGCAACCGTAAAGAGAAAGGCGTCTTTCGATGAAAGAAGATCAAAGTCCTCGTCTTCGAAGTCGGATGAGAGTCCCAAAAAGAGTGGCGGGACTCAAAAAAGGAAAGAATTTGGTAAGAAGCGCGAATCTTCCACGAAAAACGTTTCCATGAAATTGTCCAGGGAAAAAACGAGCAAAGTAGTTGCAGAGAAGACGTCAGAAGTGCAGAAGGAGGATGAAATTGCTGTTGACGGGGTACAAACGAAAGAGGCCACATCGACCGTCTTAACAAAAAGCTCGAGCAAGGAGTCACCGGATGAGAAGGAACAAACTGCTCATAGAAAATCTGTCGATTTCTCATCCTCCAAAGACTCTACGTTAATGGAAGACAAATCGTTAAGCGCAGATACACCAACTGCCACGAAACGAAAGATTTACGACGAGGAGGAAGTTGCTCAAGACTCGTCTCCTGCAAAGTCCGATTTAGAAGATCACAAGGATGAAGACGAAGCTAAAAAAGTGAAGACACATCCTATGGAAGACGCACTGGGGACAGGTGAGTACTGAAACCACTCCATGAGTGTCTTTATACCGTTTGCCGTGCTTTTAGTAGAGACCTTTCGATATATTGACGAAAGTTCCTCGAGTTCTCCGAAATCGGCGCAAACCAGACGCTCGAGACCGTCAACGGGAAAAATTAGACAAACTGGACGATCGTCGGTAAGAAAATGTTTGTTCGAAAGTTCAGAAGAACGTTCTCCAGATAGGAGCGCTATAGTGGCGGTGATTGAGAGTCCAGAATGGGACGAAGAGGACGAGGAGATTGACAAGGAGATCAGAGACGCTATCGGGGAGGACGGAGAACACGAGACGGAAGCCGAGGATGATAATGAGATGGGTGTCATCAGGGTATTGCCAAGCACGAGCGAGGAAGAAATGTCTCGAGCTGGACATGATGTTTGCAGGACTTCGGCGACCGACTCGTTATCCCAAGTAGGCTAATTCTGATGGTAGAAAAATTTAGATGGTATTTAGTCTTTCCTCATCGTTTGTGAGATTGGCGATAACCCGGTGGATCTTACGTCTTTCCCTACAATATACTTTGTGACATATTTAATGGGGAAAATTTCATTATTTACCGTATTTCAATTTTTGCAAGTTTATTTCATCCCTTAAATCAATATGATGCAATTCGATGTAACATTTACTATACACCCAATATAAAAATATGAAATATAATTTTTGTATATGTATAAATATGTATAATCGGTTTAAAAGATAAAATAAGCTTCTTGTGCGTGAATTTGAAAATTAAATGTTTATAATGTCAATAACAACATGCGAGTACCATTCGTATTTATTCGTATCGATCAGTGGTAGAAACTTGTGAAAATGAAAAGGCACATAGATGTACAAGATTGCCTTGACCATCTTTTTCAAATTTACCATCGAGAACATTTCATTATTTAATGTCATATTTTAGTACGAAATAGATTCACATTAATTCGTAATATTGGATTCACTATATCAAACAACACATCAACAATAGTATTGTAATACATATTGTGTAAATAACATTGCAACCAGAAGATTGTCTTCTCGTAACCAATTATTTTTTCTCTTCATTTCACAAAGATGCAATCCGGTACTCGAACTCGTTTGACACGAGTTCAAAGTCCTCAGGAAAGTAGAGTCAGTCGACTGCAAGGGAAACAACGCCGTGACAGCGGCGGCAGGGATAGTGGCATAGAACCCAGTCCTAGGGTATCACGGATACCGAGAAGAAGAATCATGAAATGTTGTCCAAACACCGATAAGCAACAATCCCTTAACAAAGACACCATAATAAGAGATGTCCAAATCAGTTTACGACGATATCACTTGGAAAGAAAGATATTCTTCCAACTGATGGAACTGAAGAGACTACAGATACGTCATGGCAGAGCGAATGAACAAGTTTTGGTTAAGAGACAAGTAATAATCTTGCCTATTTCTCCCTATGTAATGCAACATAATCTACGCATTGATCTGTTTAATTGGAATTTAAGATTTTATTTAATTCAAAATACTTAATCAGGATCTAAAATCACACTGAATTATATTCTTTGTTTCAGGTGGATGCTTTCCATAAAGCTGGGATGTCTGGACCCACCCTTGGTGTGGCAAAATACGATCAACCCTTAACGTTCAGGTTATTGTTTTCTAAATATAAAAAAATACGCTGTTTAAAACAATTAGAAGATCGTTTTTTGTGTCACTTTGATTTTTATGTGTCTGTGCATTTTTTGTAACGACTGTCTTAGAATCCATCTTTTTAAAAGTATCATATGAATAACATGACGGTCTATCGAGTCTATATATAGGACTCGTTTGCTGCTGTTTACTTTACTGATGCTATAAAACCATTCATAATGATTCCTTAATTGACTTAGCGTATATTTTTATAGTATTGTGAATGAAAATGTAATTAATGTTTCTTACTAGACACTTCGAGGCCTTCCTGTACGATCAGCTCAGGAAGATTCAAAAAAGACCAGCAACTCCAGACTTCTGTATGGAAGCGAAGCAGTGCATCCAAAAAACTCACCGCTGTCATCACGCCACTAGTGCTTACACTTCTTTCCCAGCGTACACATATCGTACGTTATTTCCGTGCATTGTCATAGTTGATAGGTTTCAGGATTCCATTTCAGACGTTTATACGTGAAATAGTCGAATAAGAAAATTTATACAATGTTAATTGTATTCTTTAATTTCTTTTAATTATCAACGTTTGATATGATAACATTTCAATAATATTTCTCAACCTTCCACCATTAACGTTCTAATTAATTAATAAGTTGGGAAATAATAGAAAATTTTTTCATAAGAAATTTTTATACACAAAAGTTTCGCAACGTTTTTTTGAAAAAATATCCATGAGACACATATACATAATCGCGAAAAGTTTAAAGGAACGTTACTATTTTTATGATTAATAATTCCGAAATGGTATGCTGAATACGAGAATCCAATCCAAATGACTTTCAAAAGGAATCAGTTTCCCTATTGTGATTGTAGATTATAATTGCAGTAGGTGGAGGCGGCCAAGAACAAGCGGATCTTCTTCCGAAGATAGAGAGCCGTGGAAAGGGGCAAATGAGGGTAAAATCTAGTCATTTAAACTGAAAATAATTATGCAAGAGTTGCATTAGTGCGATAATTAAATACTAAGTAATTAAATACTTGATTCAAATCAAGTTAATTCGTGTCAAATGAAATCCTTATGTGCTTACTTATTTGAACAAAAATAATATGAGTAATGCGCGTGTTTCTTTAAAAATTACGTTGTGAAACTATACAAAAAATTCTATCTTTGTTGCAGGTGGAAGTAACACATGGAGAAGAGAAGCAAATAATAGCTCTTCCAGCTGAAAGACTGGATCGTTCGAAAAAATATTACGTAACGTTTACTGTAAGAGGGGAAGCACAACAAGAAATCGAGAAGCCGAAATCATCGATCGGTATCCAAAGGAATGCCAAAAGTGTTTAGGAAGTCTTCAACTGCATTTATCGTATCTTCCCACTGTGGTGATTTTGACTACGTTTTTTCTATTCGAAGCAATATCAAAAACGTTTCCCATACTTTTTTACACAATCTTCTATTCTACCAATCTTCATACTATGCAACTTTCATAATAATTTTAACTTCGTACTATGCAACTTTCATAATAATTTTAACTTCATACTATGCGATGTTTCACATTAGATTTTCTACGATAGTATAAATTGTAGCTTCATGGCAAAACATTGATTCTCCGATTTTGAAGTAATGAGTGTGGCAATACAAAAAAGAAATTTAAAAACTGCCAGAGAAAAACGGTTCATGTACATACTTAGAGTATGAAGCAGAATATATTCTGTACAAATTTCATTGACATTGCTGTAAAAATAATCAACGGTATAAACGTGTAAGATTGTATAATATATTGCATCGAAAAAGTTCTATGCATGGACCCTCAACTTTGTTACACGCGAATTACATTGTGTATAAATATTCAATTGTATTAGACAAGACAAATGCGAACTTTTGTAAAATAAGCTAGATTGACCCAGTGCAAGTTCATTGAAAAGATCTCTTAATCTTACCTTAGTGTTACATTAAATTGTATTCATTAATAATGGTCAAGAAAATACGAATTTATTCTATGTGTACAATAAGAGATATTTCGTTCCTGCAAAAGCAGGGACCATGTTGCATACAGGTTCTGTATATTTGTGTAAAGGAATCCGCTAACTTGTAATTCTGTGTAAAATAAAAAAGAATCACAAACCGCATAACTTAAATTATCTTAAATTCATTTTTACGTACATGTTTGAACGTTGAACGCAAGCGTTTTATAATTTCCCCACAAATCTTAATAAGTGCACGTAAATGCAGTTTTCAAGATAAGAGGACGTTTTTGAATCAATTTGTAACTCAAACATATTCAAAACAAAAAATGAAGACAGCCGTAATGTTTCTTTGCGTTATTGTATGAAATAGCAGGTGCAACTTTTTAACGTATCATGCATAAATGTATGCATAGATAAATAAGGTCAATTTTCTATATTAATGATGCATTTTAATCTTCTGCCACCAGTTGGCGTATCGAACATTCTTTGCCGATATTTATATCATAAAGAAAGACGATTTCCACGCCAGGATGCGTGTGTCCAGTGTAATCTCAAAAGCTACTCAAGCGATTTGAATAATTTCTTCCCCATTGGAAAGAACATTTCCTCAAAATAATCACGTAGCAAAAGTGACGGATATCTGGCGTGTCTGCCGTGACCTTGACTATCCATCGAGCAAAGCGTAATCTGATGCACACGTACCTTACATGTTGATCTTTCTTTTATAACATTAGAAAAGTAGAAAGTCTAACTGAATTTGGAAGATTTTTTGGATATGTCGTAGAAATCAACATTTTGAACGACTTCCTACTGTACATGTAGCTGCCTGTTGGGTAAAGATTTTGTTTACGTAAATATACTCGTCCCGGCATTTGGGAATCAAATAGCATACGCTATTATGGACACGCAATTATATCGATAATTTTTTGCGAATATCATGGATACTATGTACCAGAATATATGTGTATGCTGATTTATAGTTACATTAGAGGAAAAAGTTGCTCAAAATGTTATGCTTTATAACATATTTAAAAAATATTGAAATCTGAAATGCATGTTGGTTTCTATAGTTTTTCATTAGAAGTACATACAGAATAATGCATATAGTTTGATTATGTATTAAATGATATCGAAAGGACTACTATACATACGACACGGTGTAAAGTACGTAGTTGTCTTTAACATTAGTATATCAGTACAGATAGTATAAATTATCTAATTCGCGGTTACTTCTTAGATAATCATGTATAGCCTGGATCCATAATAATATTGTTGTGTAGTCTCATATAGTATAGATTTCATATCATTCATAATTATCATACATAAAAATAAACATAGAAAAATCAAAATGGAAAACAAGAAGGTTAGGTTCAACGCTTGCGTGTCATGTTATGTCTGCTGAGACATACACTAATACTCGATTCATTTCTATTTGTCTCGCAAGATCCTGGAATACGATAACTTTCCATGTAGATTTTTCACGACTAGAGACGACTCAGTTTTCCGACGGTTTTTCCTAGTCAATTTCGAAATCAGTTTATATGATCATATTACCGACAATAGCACCTAAATCCCGAATTCTCATAGTTCCCGCCGATCTGCTTTTCACGTTCGAACTATTGTAGGTTCCAGCTAAACTTTCTCTCGCAATAATTATCAACAAATGGTAAGTTTAAATTCAAAAATACATAGATACAGATTTAAAGTAAGAATGTTTTTCTCATCGGTAATAATATGCCTATGTAATAATATGTCTATATCTAGATCCGGAAGTTCACAAAATCGATATATATTAATTCCTACTGGGAATAAAAGTAAAATTGTAGTTTACGCAGAAGCATTACAAGATCAAGAAATAAATAGAAAAAGATATCAGCTTTCTACCTGGACGGGCCCGCAGGTGATTCCCTGTATAATATAAAAGTATGGGAAGAAACCGTTTGAATAAAACGTTTCAAATAAACTTGGCCATGAAATTTAAGTAATAAATTCAATGTGAATGAATTTCTAGTGAATAAAATCCAGTATTTTCATAACATCATCGGCGTAAAACTCGAAGGACAGGCAGCACTTCCGTGTCAGCAACGATTCTACTAAAAACACTCGAGTATTTTAGGCGTTGCATTACGAAACCGCCGAGGTTCACTAGCCAGTGACGCAAAAGGCATAATTTGCGATACCATCAAGTGTTCGCTATCTTCTTCTAGATCCACGGATGACGGAATTCAGCCCACCGTTACGAACGTTTGAAATCTCGCGTTTTCTTACATAAATATAGAGTAAGTATACACAATAAGTACTCAATATTGAATACATAAAGACAAGTGAAATTAAACGTTGTAGGGACTAAAACATTCCTCCGTTCGTGTTATTCGACCAGGTTTCGAATGCGGATCTTCCACTTGTGGGGCAGATGCTGGTTAAACCACCCAGGCAGTCAGCGAATGCTTTCTTTCAAGTTCTTATGTGGCTCTTAGTAACCGCATACAATATAATATGAGATAAAAATTTGAATGTAATATACAAGATGTTTCCAGTACTTTCCTAGGTAGTCTTTGAAGGTACAGATATTAAATGAATGCAGGCAGAAAATAGAAAATAAAGAACATGGGAGGTTTGCCTGCAGCATAGGTAAACATTTTGAACATCGATTTAGGCCAGTTTCTGCATTAAAATATTATTGTTCGCGTGCCTTGTGTTTTGTAACATACTGTAACATTCGTAGCATTTACTGCCTTCGTCTTTGATTTCTTTTATTTGTAAATTTCTATGATCGTACATCTCGTATAACGATGCATTTCCTATTATTTGTAGCATCCTATTTTCGAATCGCTGTAATATCTGCTCCCTGCACGCATATTCATTCAAAACAAAGGAGGATATCACCGCGCACGTAGGTGCTGCTTCTCTCAAAATATCATAAACATACGCTCAAAACAAGGAAAGAAGAGGGTCAAGATTTAGGAACGGAAGCTCGTCAGTCTCGACTGTTCGATAGTATACAGTTATAGTCGTAGTACTTGAATTAAGATTTTTGTGAATACACGATCAAACAAGTCATTAGCACAAAAGACTAAAAACAAACGCGGTTATCGCGTTTATGCCATAATGTATCTGCTCAGAAATCACCTTAGAGTTAATGATTGAAAAAAGAAGATGAAGCGTATCGAAAGAGCGTGCGCCAAAATTACGTCAGATACGCTTAGAGCAGTTCATCAATCATCCCTACATTCTTTGCAGATATAAGCAAAGATAAGCGGCGAAAACTTTAGATAGAAATATTCAAAGCAACCGATACAATTACACTCCCTATTTTATCTGATTTTCAGGTACAAGATCAACTCAGGGTTACACCTTATGACAGATCATTGGATCGTGCTTTTTATCGGCTACGATGTAGAACTTACAAAAAAAGAACATTGAGCTTAAAAAAGTTCAAAATCACCTTAGCATCTGCAACAGAATGAGATATAACAAAATTAAATGGCACACATCCGGTGAATTCACAAAATGTAACATAATTTATTCAAAACAATCTTTAACACAACCATTATGTAAAGTTATTTTAACTAATAGTTATATTTCCTCGCTGATATTTGTGAGCAGCACATTTCTTACCGCATACTTGACTAATTTATTTTCATTTCTAATGAACGTATGCTAAATAGGAAGCACGTATATATTTATTTGATGCATATTTATATGTCCTTTGTTATATATAAACTATGAATTAAACAGATGATAATGAAATAACTGATGAATAGAAACAGAATAGTTAATTAGAATCGAGTATTCAAGAGTTCGGTAGCAAAGCAGCATTTGCCTCCTTGCTTTGCGTTTGATCGGTGCACTCTCTTCCGTTTGAGGTTCATTCCACGTACGTATTCTCAAAGTCTCCGCATTTTCGCTAATATTCGATTTTTCCGTTATTTCTGATCTTCTACACCATAAGATATAAGATTCACGTATATGTCATAGGTTTTCCAATATCTGACAGTCTTATTCGCCATTTGTGTACATGTCAAATAAAGAATTGTTTAGAATAGGATACAACTCATCAATTTGGATGAAACCGAAACATTTCGTCGAAACAAACATTCTGGACAACTTTTTACTACATCTACATACACCTGTCACTCGACGTTAGTTTTCAAGGTAGAACGAAATTTATGTTTAATATGTTTTATTTGACAATTCATTTTACAAGTTTTTTCTCTGTAAACTTCTCAATAAATAAAGGTATATATGTGACGTTTTCGACTAATTGACGGTCGGTATTAAGTGCAGCATTCCAAGCATCAGTTAGTTTCTCGAATATTATTTTGTGCCATCCGCTATTAATACAGCCGAACCCATAAGCCATTAATCAATTTCTTTTTTATATTCGTATAAAGTTAAAAATAGTTATGATAGTGAGTTCTGTTTATATGAAAGTGTGGTCGCCTGTTTCAGAAAGAGGTGTCATCGTAACTTAAATATATTCTTGCGAATACCTTGGTAACCCATGCCAAGCGGCGTCTACAGGTATAGAAAAATATTGCTCAGAATGTCCATCTTCAAAATGTATTTCAATATTATTCAAATCGGTGATGAGTACCTTCTATAGAATAATTACCATTAAAGAATATTTATCCCGCTACTATGTCTTGGAGAAAAGTAAATCGACAGTAACATCCAGATACCAGTAAATAGCTATAATACACAAATAAATAAAGTAATAAATATATCTTCCAAATTAAATTAGCATAAAAGATGTAACAAGCCCGGGTGAAGGTTTACGTATCATTATGGTCGAGATTACTGAATGCTTAGTAGTTTCCATATGGATGCTGTCTAACGAGTTTCTTTGATACATTTAATGCTTTGTGTAACAGTTAATTCCAGATATTTATAGATCCAATTTCCATTACTTATCAGCTATAGTACATTTTTACTTATCAGGGTCATGATATTTTTCTCTCAGAGGAAGAGGATAAATTTTGCAGGAACAATTTTTTGAAGAACTAAATATAAGCTGCATCGAAATAGTCTCAATATATTTTTCTTATATATAACCTGTAGATATTAAGTTAAAAACGTGCTAACATCACCCAAATGCGCATATTAATTACACATTTATACCTTAATACGTTATAAGTGTAAGAAATTCTAACCTCTCTAGTACCAATAACATTATGCGCGAGAACTTAGCAGCTTCTCAAACTTGTCCTTGTTTGGGTGTCCGAGAGATCAAAGTATGCCAGTTGGAAAGTATGTGTGTTGCGAGAGTTATAATTGATCGAGACGTCGAAGAGTAAAGTTGAAAAAATTGATAAAGTTGTAGAGTTGTAGAGTTGCTAGTGAGAGAAAGAGAGAGTGAGAGAGACAGAGAGAGACAGAGTGAGAGTGTTAAGTTCATTGTGACGAAAGATGCCAGATGTCTGTAAAGTTACTTGGGATTGATACGAGTATCGCATTTAGTTTCGGTTAAACAAACATCGTTTTCTGTCCAATTAACGCCTGTATATTCAATTCAATATTAATAAACTGTAAGTAATCGGGGAAACATTTATATCCTAAATTTCCGATATTACAATTATATGTTGTTACGCATTTGAAAAGGATTTATTGTGTGCTATGATCAATGGGAAAACTCACGAAATTGCCGCGCGTGGTCACTTGCGGAAGTTTATGAAAGATAATTGGTAAACTGTTATATCTTAATGTTACAGTTCGATAAAGAAGATCGGAGACGTATAAAATGGATGTCAGCCGCAATATTCTGGGAGGATTCCAATCAGAATTGATCAGATCGACGCTTTCCATTCTCTTAACCGTATCGCTATACGCCACATATTCGATTGTTAATTATTCCTCGAAGAATCTTCCTTCCGAATCACTCTTGCCATCTTACGATTTCATAATCGTAGGCGGTGGTTCTGCAGGTAAGTTTTTTCATGATGTCGATAGAAAATTACATCATAAACGAAATGAAAGTATGAGAAAGAAGTGCGTATCTGTGCGTTTTCACGCGAGATGGAGCGCTTTATTATCCATATAATAAAGTAACACACAAATCTAACAA